CACCCCGCCCAATGGGATCCCTTTCAGAGCCGTGGGCACCCTCTAGTCCTTCTGGTCTCAGGGTCTGATGTTTGTGTGGTTCTTTGATTCACTGGCCTCAACGACCTCAGGATCCTTTACAAGGGAACTGGTTGGGCCAGCCCATGAGGGCAAGCAGAATGACACAAGTGGAACCTTATCGTTGCTGTTGGTAGGAGCCTGGGTGTGTTAAGCCTTGGGCTGCTAACCACAGATCAGCAGTTTGAACCCCCCAGCAGCTCTGTGGAAGAAAGACAAGGCTTTCTGCGCCTGTAAAGAGTTACAGTCCTTGAAACCCACAGGGGAAGCTCTACTGGGGCCTACAGGGTTGCTATGAGGTGGGATCTCTTTCTCTGAGGTTGCTATTGTTGTTAGTGGATTCTAACTGCTGGCGACCCCTGTGTGCAGAGTTGAGTTACTCCGAAGAGTTTCCATGGCCTGCCTTCTGATGTGCCTGTGGCTGGGTCCGGCCTGGCTCCCCCAGGGCCTCCTCACCCTGATTCTACTACACCCATTTAACAAGTTTGTAACATGCAATCAAAATCTGGTTAAAAATCAAATTCAAGGGTGGCCTTGGGGGAACTTCCAAATGTGACACTGGGACATTCCACAGAGTGGTCAGAACCCTAAAAGCCAAGTCTCAGGGACGGGAACAGATGGGGGTGAGTCTCTGGGGGTGCACACCAGCGATGCTGCTCCCTGTCAGGTGGGAGGTTTAGCCCACCTAGAGGGTCTCAGAAGAGAGTCCTGGAGATCTACTCCCTGAAACCCAGCACTGGCACCCTCAGGGGGCCCACTTATCCTCAGACACACGGGGAATCTCTGCGGGTCAGAATCCATGCAGCTGAAATGGGTTGTAGGGCCTTGGGGTGAAGTGGGTTTTGGGCCTTTATTTATTTATTTTGTAGAACAGTGGGTGATCCTGGGCCCCATGCTAAAAGGAGTCCTGGTGTCGCAGTGGTTAAAGCAGCTGGGCACAACCAGCTGTGCTGTGGGAGAGAGATGTCGTGCGGAGTCTGTGGTCGCATAGAACACAGCCTTGGCAACCCGCCGGGGATGTTTTCCTCCATCCCAGAGGGTCACTAAGAGTTAGTAGAGTTAGTTGGGGTGGTACACACTTCCAGGTTTCTAAGGGGAGCTCTCCAAACCTCTCTGCTCATTGGAGGAGGGTGGGCTTGTTGCAATAAGACTTATGGGCTCCTCCCCAAGGCTACTCAACCACATTGGTCCAATCCGCAGCTTCCTATCAGTGCCAGAAGAGCACGTTCAAGATCACTGTGTGAAGTGGCCAATGCCCAGAGACCGTGGCACAGAGACCAGGGGACAGGACAGCAGAGCCAGGCTGAGACAGGGAGGTCTTGAGACCGAACAGTGGAGCTGGGCAGAGGCTAGGGAACTGTGAGGCGGAGTGACCGGCAGGCTTCCTGGTCCACGGAGACAGAGGCAAGGGACCACTGCTGGCTGAGAAGAGGTGTGGCTGGGGGCCCGTGACTGCGTCCTTCCTGTTTACTGGTCCTGACTTGTGGTCACTTCCTAGCTTCCGTAAGGAGCGCTGGTGGTGCTGTGTCTCTGCCCAGGGCCGCTGGCTGAAAGAGGAGCAGTTTGAAACAACCAGCCACTCGGCAGGAGGAAGACAGGGCTGTCGACTCCCATGAAGAGTCACATCTTGGGAACCCACAGAAGCAGTTCTACCCTGTCCGATGAGCTTGCTGTAGGTTGGCATCAAGGCAACGGCAGCAAGGTTTTGTTTTTGTCCTTATCAGCTTCTCCAGAGGACCTGTACTTGTGGAGGAAGAGGATGACCAGGAATGGGCTCTGGGCAGCCCTGGGACATC